AAGAGGAGGCGTAGGGGAGCCCTCATCGCTCTCTGCAACGGCCTGAGAGGAGGCTGGAGCCGGGGGGGTCGGTCTTTTCTCCCCAGGAACAAGCGATGGGACGAGAGGGAACGGCCTCAAGCTGCGCCAGGGCAGGTTTGGGTTGGGTATTGGGAAAAATTTCTTCATGGCGAGAGTGGTCAGGCCCTGGCCCAGGCTGCCCAGGGCAGTGGTGCAATCACAGTCCCTGGAAGTGTTCAAAAAACGTGTGGATGTGGTGCTCAGGGCCATGGCTTAGAGGTGGGCCAGGCAGTTAGGTTAATAGGTTGGACTCAATGATGTCAGAGGTCCTTTCCAACCTTAACGATTGATTCTGTAATCACACTCCCCATGTACCCCAGCAGTTCTGCCTGTCCCAGCTACGGGCTCCCCAGTTCAGACCATGGTTTGCATGCCAGCCCACCGTGCTGCCTGCTGTTCCCAGTCCCATGCCACTGGCTGCGGGTGATGCTGAGCTGCACCGAGCTCCTGCGTTCCCAGCCTGTTCCCAGTGCTGCGTTTGGGCCTCCTCAGGGAACTTGAAGCCATTATCTTTAGGGGAGAAAAACAAATGCTTTGACCTGATCTGCAAAAAAAATAATCAGAAAGGAGCCAAACCTACCACAGTGCATTAGAACTGGAGATCGGCTCAGGGAGTGACTTGGTGATTGACTCAGTGGCATGGATCCAACCGAGTCAATAGCACAGGGCAGAAATGTGCAGTAATGAGGCCGTTTGGCCTCTGAAAGTAGCTCTCAGAAAAACAAAGGGTCCTTAACTCGATGAGTGCGGTGCGCTGGAATTTCTGCAATGCAGAAACCCAGGAGCTGGGGGCTGATTTCTAGGAAGCAGACCGGGAAAGGATTTTTCTGCTGCCTCCCAAAGTGTCTGTGGTCTGTGGCTCGTGCAGATGAGGGACTGTGAAAGCTTAGGTTAGAGCTCTAAATCCGCCCAGCGCGGTGGGAGAGAAAGAGATGCCATTGAGGTCATTCACTCCCACCCCTAGGACTCCTTAAACCTGCCAGTAAAAGTGCCCAAATTCCCCTCCTGGGGGTCTGTCTGGACGCAGCGTTGCTCCTGATGAGCTCCAGGGTAATGCAGAGAACCCCAACACCCGAGAGCCCCAACACCAGCCCGTTAGCTTGGCAGCTACAGGACCAGTTTACCAGAGGCTGGTCTTTCTCAACAGGGATGTGGGCTGCATCCCCAGCTCCTGCCATGGTGGGACGGGGAGCCTGTAGCCAGGAGAGGACCCTGCCAGATCCGCCTTAGATGGCAGGAGACATTTCCCTTTCCACCTCCTTCTCCCAGCAGCAGCACGCGGGGTTCTCCGCAGCCCCGGAGGAGAAGCACCATATTTAGCAATCGGGCCGAGGAAGGCTGCCTCTCTCCCCCGCGTTTAGTGCTGCTCCGAGAGGAGAGCTCTGCTGTGCTTGCATTCCTGTGATATTGGTAAAGGCCAAGAAACTTTTCTGCTGGTGAAGAGGCCAACGGGCTGCTGGGAGCTTCGACATTTAAGGCACATAAGTGCGATGGGGGAAGGCTGTGTCATAGCTGTAACAGGATCTGTTTCAGGGCTGGCTGCCAGCGCTGTGGACTCTGCCCCGGGCATCTGGATGCTGCACGCAGGCAGGTAAACAATGGAGATCACTGCGGGCTCCGTTTGGGTGCTGCTCGCCTCCCGCTCCGGCTTGCTGGGCGGCATGTTCCAGGAAGGGTTTGGAAGCCGACGTGGAGGCTGAGATCAGAGCTGGGACACGAGTCAGGAAAACCTAAAAATTGGGAGAAGAGTCTGTGTGGCCTGAGCCCGGCACCGAGCTCAAGCCCTGGATGGGCTGAGCTGGGACCCCCAGCCTGGCAGCTTTCTCCTGCTGTCCCATCGTACGGCCTGTATTGATGCCCAAGGCTTGAACACCCAGCTGAGTTAGCGGTCCTCAGCTGAGACCACCCTGTGCACACACCGTAATCATCTCATGGACCAGGGGTGACACACGTTAGCATGAACATCTTCCAACACGGTCTTGGGGTCTGGAGAGTCAGTGCCAAAAGACTTACACTGCATCAGCTGTGGAAATGGCTGCAGGCCTGCTTTTAGTCTGCCTGAACACGAGGAAATATAGCTTTGCTTACATTACTTTCCCCCAGGTGCCTATCACTGAGTCTTTGCAGCGGACGAGGAGCGTGGCTGAGCTGCAGCTGCAGTGGGGCAGGGATGTCGATCCCTGCGCTTGGGAATCCTGCAGTGACTTGTAGGGAAGTTTCAACCCCCCCGGTTTAAGTGCATCTCCAGGATACCAGCATCAAGAGGGTTAACAGAGCTTTTTCTTAGTATCAACCTTGTAGCTTTGGTGGTTGCTTCCTTTTAAAGCCAGACAATGTTCTTGTTGCGATCCTTATCTCTGGCTGTTTTGCATGCACTCCATTTACAGAGGATCTTGTCTAGGGTTTCCTTGCTCCTTGAAAGCTGAGCTGCTCTATCCCTTGTGAGGACTTGTTTTCCCCAGCTAATTAGTGAGCTCTGGGTGCGCAGGCTAACGGCACGGCCCTCCCCTCTTTTCTAGTGGTCTGTAAGAAGAACTTGGACAGCACCACTGTGGCTGTGCATGGAGAGGAGATCTACTGCAAGTCCTGCTATGGCAAGAAGTACGGCCCCAAGGGCTATGGATACGGGCAGGGAGCAGGGACCCTGAGCACTGACAAGGGCGAGTCTCTGGGAATCAAATATGAAGAGTGAGTTTAATTCTTGTTTTTGAAACTGGGGCTGTTGTGGGCACCTTCTCCCCGACATCTCTCCGCTTGTGATGTTTGGCTGCGTAGCCCATGCTGAACTTCCAGCAGTTCCTAATCTGGAGAGTGCCGTGGGCTGCCCTGCCTTTCTGCTCCCTGGGGGAAACCCGCTGAGCCCTATTTGCAGGGTGGGATGGGGCTTGATGGGGCACGTCCCCATTGCCTGAGCATGCTGCCCATCCTAGCACACAGCCGTGAGGCTGAAGTTTCCATGGGACTCAACACATTGTGCCTAAAGCTCCGGGCCCTTCAAAATAAGGCTGGGATTTGTGATCCCATAGCTCTTCCCCCCTCCATCCTGCTTGTGCAGCCCTGATAACAAGCACCTTCCCATCCCCAGGGGCCAGCCCCACCGACCCACCAACCCTAACGCGTCCAGAATGGCCCAGAAAGTCGGAGGAGCTGATGGGTGCCCTCGCTGTGGTCAAGCGGTGTATGCAGCCGAGAAGGTGATTGGAGCTGGAAAGGTAAGAAGGTGGATGGAGTGGACGGGGCACGCACATGCCACAAGTTGCTGTGTGGCAGGGAGACGCTCAGAGAAGGTCTTGACCTGACCCACAGCTGCTGCAGGCTGGGCTGCCAGCACCTCCAGCCAGGCCTGGGCTTGGGGTCCAGTGGCCACGCTCACCTGGAAGCCTGGCACCAAAAGGAGAGCTGGGCATGTCTGGAAACCAGGTTCTCCAGGCTGCATCGCTCTTACAGACTTGTAGATGGGAGAGAAATACATTTAATACTAAATATTCGGAGTGCTGCTCAGCAGAGGTCACAGTGGACGTCCCTGCTGCTAGATGTGTTGGGCGGATGAGCGGTGATGTGGGCCGTGGCCGCTGCCACCGCTAACTGAACAAGTGCAACATCCAGCGAGCCTTCTCCACCCTCTGCCGCAGGCTGGGATGCCACAGACCAAATCTGGGGCAGGGAATGAATTCCAGTGGTCAGCGCTGCCCATAGGCAGGGCAGGGTGGTTGGAGGTGTGGGCACGGGCTCGGTGCATCTCTCCTGGGCTGTTCTGCTGGCGGACTGGGTCTGCTCAGGGTCAGGTGTAAAGGATGCTCTGCAACAGCCCTGGGACTTCTACGGCAAGTTCATCATTTCACCAGGGTCCTTTGTGTCCCAAGCTGTGGCCTTACCGAGCCCAGCTCTGGGAAGCCTAGTAGGGCATGGGGACACCTTCTGTTCTGCCAGCCCTGGGACCCCGGCTGAGGTCCCTGCCTCGAAGCAGCCTTCCCTCTGACGTTGGGTACATGTGCAGAGCTTGCCAAGGCAGCTGGGTCAGGCCACTTGGCTTTGTGCCGTGCGGGACGGGATGGCCGTGCTGGGAAAGCCTCGCCGGTGATGTTGGGTCACCCCTGCTGTGCTCCGTCCTCCCTGGGGTTTCTGTGTTTGTCCCCAGAGGAAGGAAAGGAGGCATCTCGTCAACAGAAGGAGCCTCCCAGCATCATCATACCCTAGCTGGCAGTGCAGGGATTTGTGATGGACATGTTGAGGGTCAGCCCAGGGTCAGAAGCCAAACCTACCCTTAAAATCATGATCTGAGCTTCCTGGTAGGCTTCTGGGGTCAATGTTTACGGGGAACCAAAGCTGGCAAAGCAATTACACTCAAGCAAACCCGGAGAGGATTCCAGAGCATGTATTTCATGTGCTAATGTTTGCTGGATGACTCCATCTGCTACCTCCTCCTCCAGCCCCCTAATTCCACATTTTCTTCCAAAAAAGGTTTCATGTTTTCCAAAGTGTTTATTTAAATTCCTCCATGAGCAGCTCTGGCTACTCTAGGTCTGCTCAAAGGCTGTGAGCTCATTTATCCCCAGAAGACTGGCGGAGTCGTGGGGGGAATTTTATTTTTAAACACTGGCTGATTTCTGCATTCTTAGTATCTGTTTGCTGCCTTCCTTGGAGCTGTAGTTGTGTAGGGGCAGGTGTCCCAGCCCTAACGTACAGCAGCAGTGGATGGCAGCTGGATAGCTCAGAGGATTTATCGTGGTGCTTGAGAGAGGACAATCTCCAAAGTGGGGGGTGATTGCTCCTTACAAATTATTGTACAAATTATTGTACAAATGACTGCTGCGAGTGGGGGCAAAAGCTCTCTAAAACCAGATCAACAGGGGAGCAGTCACCACACCTGATGTCTCCTCTCTGGATCTTCCCCCTGGGGCTGGGAGGACTGCTCTTTCCAGAGAAAAGCTTTCATCCCCTTCAGACCTCTTTGCCAACCGCTTTGGGGCGGAAAGAGAAAAGTGACCCCGTTTGGTAGCCAAAGCATCGCTGCCCTGTCCCTGGGTGCTGTCTGACCGGCCTCTGCTCTGTCCCCACAGTCCTGGCACAAGTCCTGCTTCCGCTGTGCCAAGTGTGGCAAAAGCCTGGAGTCCACCACCCTGGCAGACAAAGATGGGGAGATCTACTGCAAAGGTGAGTGCCACCTTCCCCGCTGGCTTGTCCTGGACTCCGCAGGGTGGAGGCAAGGGGTGAAAACCCCTCTGCAGGGAACCAGGATGGGACTGAGGTTTGGGAGGTGGTGGCCCCAGCAGCTGGCTGTGCCGGCCGCGGAGCCGGGGATTTCCCACAGCGCCTCGGGCCTCTCTGCCCAACAAATACAGCAAACGCCTGCTTCGAGAGGAGGACCTGCTCCTGTTCAGCTGCCGGCCTTACCTGCCTCTCCCTTCCCGTCCTCTGCAGGTTGCTACGCCAAGAACTTTGGTCCCAAGGGCTTTGGCTTTGGGCAAGGCGCTGGGGCGCTCGTCCACTCGCAGTGAGGCACCAGCAGCTGGGCTCTCTGCTCGCTCAGGGCTTGTCCAGACCAGCCTGTGCTGCTCAACCCTTCCCGCACCCGCAGTGAGCATCCTCACCATCAATAACCACCCGCTGCTTCGCAGCACGAGCCCCTTCCTCCCTGCCCTGACCCAGCGCACCCCGAAGCTGTGGGAGTCCCAGCATCGTCCCTATCGGGTCCTGCTGGTGCGGGTGCCGGCGGGGAGACAGCTCGCACCCACTTGCAGCGAGGCCCGTGTGCCCAAAACGTTCTGCTCTGCGTTGCCCATCTCGCTGGGATGCAAGCTCAGCCGTGCCATGCCGTGTCACCGAGCAAGCAATAAACATCAAAGCTGACCCATGCCTGGCCTTGCCTGAGAGTTTATTCCCCATCTGGGGCTGAGGAGGTGCACTGGGTGACCGGAGCTGGAGGTCAGGAGGTAGAGGGAGGATGGGGAATGTTTGCAATCGTGGCTTGCAATTAAAGCACGAAGGGAGGAACTGCTCGGTGCAATTTGACGTGGTCCAGCTGTGGCCAGCTGAGCTCTGTGGGTCGGCTGGGCCGGGCTCTCCCCCTGCTCCCGCAGTGGATAACCATTTCAAAAGCAGTGGTTGATGGTGGGAGGCCCAGGACGGACCTTCTTGGGTGTGTGGGTAGCACAACACGTGTGCACGCCCTATCGAAACCCCTATCAATGCTTTGACGTGGCGCCTCTCCAAACAGGCGTGCCCAGCAGTGCTGGATAAGTAACAACTTTTCACCTACTCCCGGGGTTTTTAGCAGTGCCGTGGATCATTAAGCCGTCACTTTGGCAGCGTCCCAGATTTAATTCATTTTCATCTAAACTCTTTACTTTCTTTCTGCGAGTCTCTCGTTTGACCGGTATGACATACCCACAAGATCAGGCTCACTGCAGCTTACAGTTGTGAACTCCAAAGGGAATTTGGTTTGGGTTTTTTTTTTTAACGTTATAAGCTTTGTGGTTGAGTAAATGAGATGAGTTGTGTTTGGAGAAGCACAACTGAGGCAGAAATCCTTTTGCAGGGCAGGATTTGCGTTCCTTTACCAACTTAAGCACTTTCTCCCGTTCATCACACCCTCTGTTTTCACACGACATTTTGGAAGCTGAGATGGGGCCTATGCTTTTTAAGCACCTCCAAAAATCCTCCCCCCAGGTTTCCCAGCCTGGAACCCAAATTCTAGCTGGCCCCATTGCTCTGGGGTGCGTGGTTGGGGTTTGGTGAGGCGATAGCGGACGCTGGTCGGTGTGTGGAGGCTCAGGGATGCGGTAGTGGGTCAGGAGCTCACGTACCACCCTTGGTGTCGAGACCGAAACCTGGCTCCCTCGCTTGGCGGCGGCCCTGCTCCCCCGCAGAGGCGTGGGGGGTTTGGAAGCTGCCTGCTTTCTCCACGAGCGAGGGGTGGATGCTGTGCTGCTGCCGCATTTCAACTGGATGTGCCACAGGCAGGGATCGCACCCAAGCAATGCCGTTCAGTCAATAAAGCCAGAACAGGTCTTTCTTTAGTCTCTTTTTCCTGTAGTGGTAGAGGTTGTGTCAGAGAGAGGGGAGGTACTGACCTATCGCAAGTGTGGTGGACCCCAGAGAGGCCCTTGGCTCCTGGAGACCTGGGCAAAGCCAGGAGAAAATGCTGGGTTTGGGTTTCACAGGGTCAGAGAAAGAGGTCGGATGGAAGGGTCCTGCAGAGGTCTCGAGTCCAACCTCCTGCTTAAAGCAGGGGTAGCTTCAAAGGTCAGGTTGATCAGAGCCTCTGGGGCCCAGTCGAGTTTGGAAACCCTTCAAGGATGAAGGTCCCACCACTGTGGTTCTTGTTACTGTGCACAGAGGAGCTTATTTTCATTATGTGCATCAGAGTTTCCCTTGTGGCACCTGTGCCCGTGGTCTCTTGTCCTTCTGCCATGCACTGCTGTGTCTCCCTTCTCCACAACCCTTCTCCAGGCAGTGGAAAACTGAAGTTTGGTCTCCCCAAGCCCTCTCTTCTCCAGGCTGGTGGGTCTCTGCTGAGCTTTCAGCCCCAAAGGTCCCAGGTGACAGCGTGGGCAGTGTCCTGGGACAGGGACCTTGCCCTGAGGGTTTGCAATCGGTGCTGCATGCCTGCTGAAGTTGCGCTGTTCCCCGGAGAGCGGCTTAGGGGGTGACAGGGACCGACATCCGCAGTGTCGGCATGGGGAGACCGGGACAGGCATCGCTGGGGCTGCACATCCAGGCAGAGGGCATGAGGTGGGCTGCAGGAGGCGGTGGGGCAAGGCCCAGGAGAAGCCGGGTGGGACTGGGGGAGCTTTCTGGGCATCCCCTGCCCAAACTGCAGCGGGACGGCTGCAACCTTCTGCTACCCTCTGCTGGTTACTGCTCCCCGTGCACGGGCACGGCCCCGCGCCCCTCAGCCGGACCTGTCTGGACACCTGCACCCAAGTGTCGTCCAACTCCCTTTAGAGGCAGCGGAGCCGCATTGCGCCCAGCAGCACCCACCCCTCCCTGCTGCCGGCACGGGGGGCTGCCAGCCCTGGGAAAAGGGGCTGCGGGACCCAAACCTGCCTCTGAAGAGAAGAACCAGAGGGTCGGCTCGTGGCCAAGCACCCTGCAGCCTGGAGGCTGGTGGTGACGGATTGAACCACTCTAAGGGGTCGGACCGGAGCCCCATGGCCAGTGGTGCCGGGGGATCTTGGCAGGGGATGCCACACCGCCACCGCCCCATCCCGGCTGTGAGCACTTTGTAGGAACGTCACCCCAGCGGCTGCTGAGCCAGCCCGGGGCAGGACTTCTCCCCAGCTGAGCCCCGGCAGCCCCCGTTGCCTGCCCGTAAGGGCTCTGTGTGGACGGGACGTGCGTGGGGACCGCGGGCAGCAAAGCTTTTTGCTTGCTGGCAGCCTGACGCAGTGAGTCCCGCTGGGTTTGCTGGAGGGCAGGAGCTGTGGCGTCGGCCTCCCGGGCAGCCCAGCAGGACGAGCCGCCTGCCCTGCAGGTCTGGGAACAGGGAGAGAGGAGCGGAGAAAGGCTTTGTCCAAGCTCCTTTACATCCATGGCTGTGGGAACATGACCTTCCCTTGGTGGCTGGAGGCTGGAGAGGCTGTGAGCAGCAGAGCTGGGCACTTGGAGCAGGGGTGGTTGGCAGCCCTTGGCTCTCCCTAGGGTGGTGAGGAAGGAGATTGGGCTGGCTGGTGAACCAAAAGTGCCTGTGGACATCCCAGCTTGCCGGAGCAGAGCTGGGAGCGACAGTCCTGAAACTACTCACCCCCAAATTTCCAGGGCTCAGCATCCCTGGAGCTGAGCTTTACCTGTGCGTGGGAAAACAGCCTTGGATGCTCCTTTGGAGAGGGAACTCACACATCTGCTCTGCTCCTCCCGCAAGTGCTGGGGTGCTTGGGGTGACCTCCAGGGCTGCACTGGCCCCCCCGGCTGTGCCTGGCCCCCCACTGCCTTTGGCTGCAGGAGTGGCGAGGGCCGCAGGGGAGACGGGGCCGCCTGACGTCACGAACCTGGGTCTCCTGGGACACCCGGGATCTCTGCCAGCGTGGCAAGGTTGGCCCCGGGGAGCACGAACCAGTTCCTGGCTCCCGCAGCTGCTGCCCTGCCCTCTTAATGAGGCATAATTAGGTGCATCTCATCAACGCTGCCGACTTGCCCCGTGGCCACGCCGGCTGCAGGCAATGCCCCCGGCAGGGACCGGGGACAACAAAGGGGCTGGGGCAAGAGGGGCTCCCGTTGGGGGGCACTGGGGGGTTTGGGGTCTGCGGAAGGATTGGGGAGGTGAGTGCTGGGGCAGCAGCCGCGTGCCAGGGAGCTGCGGGCCAACCTGCGGGCTGCCCGCCCCAGACGGTGACCCCAGCGCGTCGCCGGGGGGATTTTTTCCCCTTCCAGACCTCACTTGGGCAAAGCGACCTGCACCCTCAGCATCTCTGGGGGCACATCCAGCCGCCCAGCAGGCTGTGACCATCACCCCCTTTGGCAGCCCCATGGCCAGCACGAAGGCCCCAGACGTCCCCGCCGGCAGCCTGGCACGGCACGGTGAACACCTCTGTGCCAGGCGCTGGCACAGGAACAGACAAAGCTGCGGTGGCCGGGAACGAGACGGGCTGGAAAGGAGATGGGTGTTTCGCTGCAGGGGAGGGTGGACTCAGGCGGGACCGGGCTGTGCCGTGCTGCCCTGGCCCCGCTCTGGGGGTGCATCCCCCCCTGCACAGGTCACATGCGGCTGGGAGATGCTGGTCCTCGCTGGTCCTCGCTGTGGGACAGGCTGGGGGCTTCAAATCCCTGTCCCAGGGGATCTGGGGGACAGGAGCTCTGTGTGCTGAGGGCTGGGCCAGCACTCTTGGGTGCAGGGCCGGGTGGGTGGTGGGTGTCAAGGGCTGTCGCCATTGCAGGGCAGCCCTGCACAGCCGCCTTGGAGTGGTGACACCAGACGTCTCCTGGCTGCATGTGTCCGCCCTCCTGGGCCCCCACCCAGGGGTCCCCACAGCCCCTGCCTGGCTGGTGCTGCACCCACAGCCCCCTGCCCCAGCTGGCACTGCACCCCATAACCCTCTGCCCTGGCTGCAACTGCACCCCATCGTGCCTTCCTGGCTGGCACCGCACCCCTCAGCCCCCCACCCCAGCCAGCGCTGCACCCTATAGCCCCTCCCTGGCTGGCATTGCACCCAGAGCCCCCTGCCCCAGCTGGCACTGCACCCCACAGCCCCATCTGCAAGCGAGACTGCGCCCCGTAACCCTGTGCCTGGCTGGCGCTGCACCCCGCAGCCCCCTGTCCCCACCGGCGCGGCACCCTATAGCCCTGTGCCAGCTGGCACTGCACCCTGTGCCCAGGCGGCCCTGCAGAAGTCTCCAAGCCCGGCCCCGGCACCGCTGCCGTGCAGACCCATGCCCACGCCCTGCCTGCTCACACGAGCACCCTGAGGGCAGCGCCTGCCTGCGGGCACCCCAAAAGCACCTCCTGGGTGAAGCGGGGCTGCGCCGGGCCTGGCCGGGCTTCGCCTGGGCGTGAAGGGTGCCTGCACGGCAGGAGGGGCCAGGCGAGGCGGGGAGGAATGCGAGTGGGAGAGCAGCCGGGCATGTAGCGACAGCTCCTGGGGCGCGCGGCGCCGGGGATCCCACACGCTGCACGGGGCAGGGAGCAGAGCCCCAGCAACAGGGCTGGCGGCCGGCATGGGGCACCCCATCGCTCACCCCCTCTGAGGCAGCGGAAGGCAGCGAGTCCCCCAGGGGCAGCACTGCTGCCGCGGGTGTCCTGGCCCTGGGGAGCTCGGCTCCGACGTGGAGGGGCTGGAAATCCCCCGGCGGGTGATGCCCAGCTGCGCCGACGCGAGGTGCTGAGGATCTTGGGGGGCCGAGGAGCCGCTATGACCCCTGAGAAGGTGCTGAGAGAGGGGGTGCTGGAGAAGCGGAGCGGGGGGCTGCTGCAGCTCTGGAAGAAGAAGCGGTGCCTGCTGACAGAGAAGGGGCTGCAGCTCTTCAAGCCCAAGGGCTCGCGGCGCAAGGAGCTGAGCTTTGCCCGCATGAAGGCAGTGGAGTGTGTGGAGTGGAAGGAGCGGCACATCTACTTCACGGTGGTGATGGACGACAGCCACGAGATCGACTTCCGCTGCGCCCAGGAGGACCCGGGCTGGAACGCCGAGATCACCATGGGCCTTGTCCGCTTCAAGAACCAGCAAGCGATCCAGATCGTCCGCGCCCGGCACAGCTGCCGAGCAGGTACCAGACCCCCTGCCGCGCCGCGGGTCAGGGTGCAGGAGGAGATGAGGTCCCCGGCCACTGGGTCCCATCTCCGAGTGGTTCAGCTTCCCCATAGGAATCACAGAGGGGGTGCCATGGATGGGGATGGGTCTGCACGGTGGCGGTCCCGTGTCCCCCCTCTGCCCATCGCATCCCCCGCTGGGTTTCCCTCCCCGCATCCCTGGAAAGGGACTTTCTAACACCCTCCCTCTGTCTGGGGTGGCCCCGAGGGATATGGGGCTCTTTGCCATCTTGCACGTGGGATGGTGGTGAGGACCATGGCTGGCTCCGCTCCCCAGCTCCCCTCGAGGCTGGATCCTGCCCCACATCCCAGCACTGGCCGGGTGGGTAACAGGCACCTTCTCCCCACAGTGGTGCAGTTCGACGCAGCCTCGGTGGGCCAGCCCATGGACGCGCAGCATCCGAAGAGCAGGATGGAGATGGCCCTCAGCTCGGCGGGCGGTGGGGAGAACAGGATCCCAGCGGGCAAGTGAGGCCACTGCTGTCTGCGGCCCGGGGATGGGGACGGTGGCCCCAGGGAGGCCAGTGCGGGCGCTGGCTCCCCCCATCCTGGGGCAGAGGCACCGCGGGAGCCGAGCTGGCACAGCTGCAGTGGTCAAGCCATATCCCCTTGGCACGATGGGGCAAAGGACACAGTCAGGGCCACCACCTGGGGCTCCGGACATGGGAGGAGGTGACATCCCTGCCTGAGGGCCCACCATCCTTCAGTTGACATGGCCAGGACCTCGGTGGACTGGTGAGGACCCCCAGGCCTCTCCTGCGGGACAGGGGATGGGATGGATGAGGTTGAGCCTGAAGGAAGCAGGGTGACAGTGAGCTCTGCCCAAATGCCAGTGACACTGGGACAGATGGATACGGCCAGGGACGTGGCTCCCCCTGAGCCCCCACGTTGAGAAGGGGCTGGAGAGCTGCTGCTGCAGCAGGGACCCCTCCAGGCACCGTACCCAGACGGCGCGGTGACGCAGCCGTGCTGCTGGACGCTGTCCTGCCCTGGGCTGTCCTTGGGCTAACAGGGGACGCTGGGGAAGGCAATGGGGACCCCAACTCCCTGTACCAAAAGTGTCTCCAAACAGGACCTTCTGCTGCTTACCCTGGTGTTGGTTTGATTTGTGGGACCCCTCAGGGTATGGGAGAGCACAAATCCTGCCCAGAGCTTCACCAGTCGTTGGCATCCCCCTAAATCTGCCAGCATCCCACAGTTGGCCTGCAAAGCCCCCTGCTGCCACTCCGAGCCTCTCTGGTCACCCATCCCATCGCGCCTGTGTCCCCAGGGATTCCCACGGTGGTTTGTGGGCAGGCGACCCGGGAGCAGCTCTGCCTGCAGCAGGCAGGGATGGCAGGCAGGGGAAGGGATGGCTCTGCCCCGACAGGCAGCGCAGACGCCAGCGCCTCAAGCCACTGTGCTCCGCAAGCCGGAGCTGAGCCCCAGCCCCGCGGGCCCTGCAGATCCTCCTGGAGATTGCCCGGCTGCGTGGGAATCGGGGAGCGCGGTGCTCCGTGCCCCCGGGCTGCGGCAGCCGGCCCCCGCCTGCGCGCC